AAAGGTCTACTCCAAGGTACTGGAGAGGAGGGTCTGATCGATAGTTGAATCTCAGATAGAGGAGGAGCAATGTGGTTTTCGTCCTGGCCGTGGAACTGTGGACCAGCTCTATACCCTTGCAAGGGTGATGGAGGGGGCATGGGAGTTTGCCCAACCAATCCACATGTGCTTTGTGGATTTGGAGAAGGCTTATGACCGTGTCCCCAGGGGCACCCTGTGGGGGACGCTCCAGGAGTATGGGGTGGGTGGCTTTCTGTTAAGGGCCATTCAGTCCCTTTACCAGAGGAGCGTGAGTTTGGTCCGCATAGCCGGTAGTAAGTCGGACCTGTTCCCAGTGAGGGTTGGACTCCGCCAGGGCTGCCCTTTGTCACCGGTTCTGTTCATCACTTTTATGGACAGAATTTCTAGACGCAGCCGTGGTGTGGAGTGTGTCGAGTTTAGTGGCAGGAGAATCTCGTCTCTGCTTTTTGCGGATGATGTGGTCCTCCTAGCTTCATCCAGCTCTGACCTTCAGCTCTTGCTGGGTAGGTTCGCGGCCGAATGTGAAGCGGCTGGGATGAGGATCAGCACCTCCAAATCTGAGACCATGGTTCTCGACCGGAAAAGGGTGGCTTGCCACCTCCGGGTCGGGGGAGAGGTCCTACCTCAAGTGGAGGAGTTTAAGTATCTCGGGGTCTTGTTCACGAGTGAGGGTAGGAGGGATCGGGAGATCGACAGGCGGATTGGTTCGGCGTCTGCAGTGATGCGGACGCTGAGCCGATCTGTCATGGGGAAGAGGGAGCTGAGCCAGAAAGCCAGGCTCTCAATTTACCGGTCGATCTACGTCCCAATCCTCACCTATGGTCATGAGCTTTGGGTAATGACCGAAAGAACGAGATCGCGGATACAAGCGGCCGAAATGAGTTTCCTCCGTAGGGTGGCCGGGCTCAGCCTTAGAGATAGGGTGAGGAGCTCGGACATTCGGGAGGGACTCGGAGTAGAACCGCTGCTCCTCCGGATCGAAAGGAGCCAGTTGAGGTGGTTTGGGCATCTGGTCAGGATGCCTCCTGGACGCCTCCCCGGGGAGATGTTTCGGGCATGTCCTGCCGGCAGAAGGCCCCCGGGTCGACCCAGGACACGTTGGAGAGGTTACATCTCCAATCTGGTCCGGGAACGCCTTGGGGTCCTGCCGGAGGAGCTGGTGGACAAGGCCGGGGAGAGGACGGCCTGGAGCTCCCTAGTTGGGATGCTGCCCCCGCGACCCGGACCCGGATAAGCGGAGGAAGACGACGACGACGACGACGACTTCTGCCACAATAAAACTTGCCTTGATGGCAGCTTTGCTTTGTGATTTTGCTTTTGTGAACAGAGCCTGCTGGGACTTAAGACCTCGTTTTAATTCTTCCACCTTCTGTAGCCTTTGTTCCGTGTCCATATTCTTGTCTTTGTCTGTGTGTTTCTTAGACATTTCATGGTGCCTTCTTAGATTATATTCTTTCATTACAGCCAAACTTTCTCCACACAGAAGACACACAGGTTTGCCATTTACCTCAGTGAACATGTACTCTGTCTCCCACCTAGCTTGAAACCCCCGTTCTCAGCATCCACCTTCCGTTTTGCCATTTTTTGGGGAGGAGGTAGCTGAAAGTTGACATCTGCTCTGACTGCTAATGAATGATGAAGCTGAAGTCTGCTTGCTGCGTCTGCGCTGCAGTGAGTTTGCGGGTTACTGTTGCATTGTGGGAAATGTAGTATTGGTGCATGCAAAACACCAGCGGGTGGCTACGGCCTGCGGGCCGGTTCTAATACTAATCAAATATCATTATTTAACATTTAAACTGGTTTTTAGATTTTTTTACTTATTCAAAAAACCCTGTTAAGGGATGTTTTTCTGTATTTGGAGCATCAGAAAAAGTTTTATGGTGGAGGTGATGTTTTAAAGTCACTGAGAAACTGCATGCATGCAGTTTGTTGTTTTGCTGCTAATACAGTAGCAGGGGCAGCTGCATATTTTTGCAATAAAAATGTTATGTTGTAATGGAATTCATGCATTAGTTTTTGTTTGCTTTGAACCCAGAGCAGACGTCAATAATATCGATATCGCAATACTGTTATCGAATATCGCAGGTTTTCCTAATATCGTGCAGCCCTATATATAATATTGTTCCACTCCACTGCCAGGATTTAAGCCATGAAAACACACCGCTGCACTTCTGGAACAATGCTAGGAGTAAATAAGCCATTAGGTCCTTTGTATAGACGTCATCTACGTGGATATGAAATCGCATCACCGCAATAATCTTTTATTTTGAAATTACTGAGTGTTTACACTGAAACCGTGTGTGATTTTTCATCTAGCCCTATGCTGACTGTGGAAATTGACGTGTCCCAGACGTGGTACATGACAAAAATAGAACCCGATCCTATCTTTAGCAGTGCGGCGTGGTTCTGGGACGCATCTGAAAAGTGTCCTGCTTTGAATCACCCCCATAGACTATAATGGATTCCATTTCAAGTAGTGACGTTCTGCTGCTGTTCCACGCCACTGATGCTTCTAGTGTGAAGTTGGGGTTATGGGCTCGACACACGGGAGGCGACATCGCCTCTCCTCCATTCATTTTCAATGAGACATGTGTGACAAAGCGATAATCGCGGGTCTCCCTCCTACCAAGCGAAACGCGAAAAACGTGCATGTGAAATTTTGCGCTCGTGCACATGTTGTGCACAGGCGACCCAGCGACACGATCCCAGAAAGTTGAAACATTTTCAACTTTTCATCGCTGTCGCTCGGACGAGGACCAATCAACGGAGGTTGCATTCACTGACCAATGAGCGGACAGGATGCTCCGTACATCTCCGAGCAAACATGAAGGAGAAGTTGATTATTATTATGTTTTATATAGTAAAATCAGAAGTAAGATTTCACATAACTCTAGCAGCACCTTGTGAAACATCATATCTACCACTTTTTTAACTCTGAACCGCTTAAATAACCTTAATTCCCTCCAACCTGACACAGCCAAACAAAACAACAGAAGTTTCGATTGCGCCATGGAACAGAATGCGTAGACGGCTTTGCCGCCAGCCGCTGCCGTGGATCGCCTCCCGTGTGTCAGGTAATGAAAGCGACGGTGACAAATTTCGCTGATTGCGGTCGTTTGTCGCCTGCCGTGTGTCGAGCCCATTAGGTCACCAAAAAGGATCCCCACAACAACTTGGCTGTGGCTAGAAATCCTGCCTGCCTTCTCACTGGAAGACATGCCGGTGGGATTAAGGAGGTCGTCGAAGTTCTCTGCCCATCAATCCACTTTCTCCTCCTTGTACGAGTTTGTTTGAGACACTCTGGGTTCTGAACCTTAGCTTTAAGGAATCTCATCTGACTTGTGTTCTCTCTGCTAACATGCTGTGGACTTTTCTCCTGTTGCTCAGGAGTAAACAGACCCACTCACCCACTAAAGCCGGGCGTACACTGTGCGACTTTTTCACTCGCAGCGTTCAGCTTCAGCTCAAACTCTACGACTTCCTCACAGAGCAGATCTCACGAGTCATGTGCTCACACTGCACGACCCAGTTCTCGCATGCGACCTGACTGCTCACACTGTACGTCTGGTAGCAACACGTCGGCCCTAAAAATGTGCTAAAAATAGCAGTTTTTACTCAACACGTCAGACTTTTTTGTCTTGCATGTTGTCCTTCGGGAGGCTGCAGGAGGGCACACAGGGATTTATGGGAGTTGGATGAGGAAAACGAAATAAAGAAAGTGAATCTGTGTTTTGTGATCAGTTTAATTTGACATGAACACGACAAACACGCTTTCTTGACAATCTTTGTGAGTAAAAAAACGTGTAGAAACAAAAACGAACAGCGTGTGTTATTAGGGAAATAGCGAGCGACCGGCCGGCGTTGATGCAGGATTGCGCGCGCATGCGCCGTGAGCGGTTCTGATACATTTTGGGTCGCAGTTGCTCTTAGCGCCGCTTCAACAGTGCGATACCCTCACGAGGGACGAGCGAAATATTAAACACACCAGAAGTCCCTGCGACCTCACGACTGCTGATCGGCGGCTGGTCACGTGGTGTTAATCGCCTCTCGTAACCCCCTGTACACTACACGACCGCTCGGCGCAAAACTCGCCCCGATGTCGTGGCTTCTCGCACGACTGGAAAATCGGCTCAAAAAAGTGAAAAAGTTGCACAGTGTACGCCCGGCTTAAGTCTGTTGGCCGAGTGCCACTGAAGAGGTTTCATGAACTTTCTCACAAGTTGGCCTGGCACAGTAACAATTTTTGCTAGACAATATGTTGTTCAACAAATTATTGACTAAATTATACTATTGCCACCATTATTGAGACCAAAATAACCACTTATGTAATGTTAATATATCATAATAGTGCAAGCACACCCTTTAAAATGCAACAGTTAAACCTTTAATATTGGAATTTCCAAAACCAGATCTTCTAAATAAATAAATAGAACAAAGAAAAAAATAAATAAAAAAGGACTACCACTATAAAATAGACCCCGTCTCTCCAAAACAATAAATAAAATTGCCTATCCATTGTCAACAACCAAAACAGCTCTTCAGTATAATGCTATATATATATATATATATATATATATATATATATATATATATATATATCATTAATTGTGCATTTCGATCTATTGAGGCTGGAAAAGGTATTGAGCTCATTTTCATCTATCGTACGATTAATTGATTTATTTATTATCGTCCCAGCCCTACTCACAGGTTTCCTTCTAGTCAGCAGCACTTAGACGACCCAAACGGTCTATTAAATTTGTTTTCAGCTCATGATTGTTATTGGACTCTCAAAAATGTAAAAGTTTTGTTGAATATTATTTGATAAAATAAAGTAATTTATTTCAGCATTATGTGGTTGTTAAAATAATGTTTTATAACAGCATGACTAATTCAGCTGCATCACGTTCCTGACATCCTTCACTTGTACTGCTACAATTACACTTCCTTATGAAATTACACCTCCTTTCTCACCTGCACAGGTATCTAAGTCGTGTGTTTGGAATGCATCCAAAGGAGACAGCCAGACAGCTGAGCCTGGCAGTGAAGGATGGCTTGGTGGTGGAGACCCTCACTGTCGGCTGCAAGGGCTCTAAGGCCGGCATCGAGCAGGAGGGTTACTGGCTGCCTGGAGACGAGATGGTGAGCTCAGATTCAGTTTACCAGCTTTTCCGTGTACTCGTTAAATAATAATTAGCATATCCTGAGCAACATTTTTAAATATGTTTATATGGATCTTTAAAGAGCTGGTTTTTAATAAAATTATTTACTTGTCTTGTTTGGCCAGAATATATTCCTGCTGAGTGTTTCTTTGCCTGAATTTTAATTGTGGATTACTTCACCTGAGATATTCGTCTTCTAACTTTTAATAACTTTTGAATAATTTGAGCCTCTTAGTGACCAAAAAGGGCCTAAAATATGTTTAATATCATCTTAACTTTCCTGAAACGTGTTTGTGTTAGAAAGATGAAATTCAGCCTTTAGAATCTGAAACTGGTTTCTAAAGAGTTGGATAATAATGTGCTGGTGGTCAAAAAAGAAATTTTTCAAAAGATTTGTTTGTAAAAATATGAGATATACCTACCACAACTTTACTATGAATAAAAACTTGATAATTACAGAGACTCAAAGTTCCCAGCAGCTCTGGTAGACCGCCAGATGCAGCATGAGCCCTCCGTTAGGTAGACTTTTACACCACGGTGAGTTATGAGTACCACGGCAGATTGTTACTCATCGTGAGAACGCGGCTTTTGGAGTCACTGCATGAACGAATAACAACCTTTAGTGGGTTTGCTATTTTCATTCAGCTTAAGAAGGAAAGATTTCAGTTTCTAAGTGATTTTATTTAGACAAAAATCAAGAACATTTTAAAATGAATGTAGGAAACATTAAACAGGAGATGTGACCTGCTTAAAAGCTTTGTTTCCATGAAGCTGATTATTTTTAGCAGGGTTTGCCCCTATTATTAGTTTAATCGCTTTACCTCCCCGTTAGTTAGCTAGTGTAACATTTTATTTAACCATTCATGTAAAACTTACCTGTCTCCACCATTTTAACCATGAGCTCCACCTTTATGATGAGGCCAAAATGAAATGCTGAAAAATAGAAGTGAGATCCTGTTAATGAAACTAAAGCACTCCTAAAATATCTGGCTTGGATTTGAATCTGCACTGATTTAAATGATATTTCATGTTTATTTGCTTCAGTTATGAGTTAGAGAGTTGTTTCGGTTAAATCACGAATACCAATATTATCAATGAGTCTGGACCTGATAGCGGTGTCCAGCGGAGCCCTGAAGTCCTTTTGGCTGCAGGCCGTTTAAACACTGCTCTCTGAATTACTTGCAATCACAGGAGCCGAAAGCCGAGGGAAGCAAGGTAAGGGCTGCATTGTTACTTTCAAAACCAGGATTTGTTCCTCATTTGAGCCCCTCGCCACCCCACCTCTTCCTCTCGAGTAACATCATTCTGTGAGAAATCGGTCCTGCCACAAGCAGTGCAGTCGAAGATTTGAGTGAATCTTTCAAAGCGGGCTGCAGAACAACCATTTGGTCTAGATTGTGCAAAAGTTGTTGCTGCTGCACCTTGAGGTGAATTCATCTCACGAGCTGTGAATCTGTTTCTGTATGCCTGTGTACAGCTCAGCAGTCTCACTGCCAGAACCTACTCGCTCTTCTCTCACGCTGTAAGAAAGCTTCATGAAAAGTCCGAAGCAGCACTGTGTCCATGTGGCCGTTTCTTGCGGAAGTGATCGATGATAACGGTGACACATTTGGTGGCTACTTACCTTCAGGTTTGCTGCAGCTTTGATTAAAAACCTCTAGTTTGTTCTCAGCTGTTGAATACAAACGGCTCCAGTCAAACGCTTTAATCAGCGTTTGCTTCATGGTTTTAATTTAAAATGACAGCCAGTGCAAGCATAGCTGCAGGTAGGTAGCAAGCATCTGTGGGGCTGTAGTGCTTTGATCTTGGTAGTTGTAGTTTTCAGAACCAGAGTGTTCTGGTGTGATCTTAACTTTTGTCTGGCATGCCTTTTCCTTCATGTTTGAAACAGGCAGGGGTGTTTGGGGTTTATGTAGCTCGCTTCATGCCTGCTGCTGATCTGTTCAGGTTAGCAGTCACCCAGAGGACAGTCTGTCAGCTGGAGCCCTGCAAGTTCCTGGATTTAATCCAGCTGGCTTGAGTGGCATCCTTCATTTGACCTCAGGAGTATTCTGACACTGCTAACCACAGCATTTGCATAATAAAAAATAATACCTCTTAACAAAATATAGTGCATCAACTTTTCTCTGTCCCGCCTCAAGCCAGAATGGATCAAGTCCAGGTTTCCCCAAAAGGATGAGAACTCAGAATATTTAGTAGAAAGACGAAAAATACCTACTGTAGGTTAATAAATGTGTATGTCAGTAATTAATGCATTTGTATGGTACTTCTGTTGTAGTTGTTCTACAACATTATAAATAAATCCCAAATTAATCTTTTTCCTTTTGTCCATTTTCTCACTGCAATCGTATTTAATTGTGTCTAAGTTAATATAAACCTCGTTATCAGATTTCGAGGATGTGACGTTTAGAAGGCTATTTATTTATGAAGCTACTCTGAACCTAGTGATTAATATTCTAATTAAAACATCATTATAGGTAAACCTGAGACAGGACTGGAGGTTTTACATGTTGGAAATTGTTTAAATAAATGGTGTCTAATTATAGGAAATCACAGTAAGACTGCAAAGAAAACATTCGTGGCTGTGAGAACGCAAACCTTTCACATGCTTGGACAAATATTGTTATTTTAGGATTAATACGTCACAGTAAACTGGTACTGAGCTCCATTCCAGCTGTTAAACCAGCTGTTTTCGGGCCGAAGCCTGTGTGGTTCCTCTCTGACCACGAGTGTGGTGTGGTTGGCTCACAGAGCTCCAGCTTTTAGCTGCCTGTCCTGCAGCAGTGAAGTAGCTCTGCACACTCAGAGCAACACAAGGACCATCAAGTGTTTGTGTGGATGAAGAGTGTTACACTAGAAGGTGAACATCCTTAGAGAGATGAGTGGAGGATTTCTGAGTACTCTTGAGCTTCTGGAGATGTCTGCTCCTGCTGCTTGTTCTGGTAGAGGTTAGATCATCTGAGTGTTTCTCCTGTGTCTTGGGAAGCTTTTTCTATCAACATGTAAAGCAGCCGCTATGAAAGGGTTAGGGTAAGCTATTAAAACCAGTGTTTCTGCTTATTGAACAGATAATTATACAAGAATAAATAGCTTTTTATTCTGTTTATAAAGACGCATTATCATTTTAAATCACTTTAATTAAATTACAAAACAATCATTCGTTCACTAACCTGTACATGACTTCTGCATTCTTAAGCTCTCTGAGACTTGAGTTTGCTGTCTGCAGCTCTAATCCACTTCAGCACATGTCATGAACACATGGAGAAGAAATTAAGAATGAAAATGAAGCGCTGCTTTATTTCTTACTGCTGCAGTCTCTTCCTCAGTTGGCCCAGACTGTAAGTGGGAGGAACTGATCCAATAGAGAATCTAGTATCTCATCTCCAATCTGATGGGATTGACTCTGAAATTAACATCCAGAGACTTGCCCAATCCTTTTCTTTAATCCCGATGTGTTTTTGGACTCTGCAATGCTGATAAATCTGCACAAGTTGTGACAAAAACATGTAAATATGAAAGCATCACACTGATTACATAGCAATGATAAAATAGAAAAAACTCAGCAGAGCACAGCCAGAGGAAACTTTCTTAGCAGTTCAGCTGTTTAATTTTTAAGGATTTGTTCTTGATCGATTCTTGGTGCCCTGAATAGCCCCAGGAAGACGGCCATGACGGATGATTAAACCTCACGTGTAGGTTGGAGGACAGAGAAAATGGTTTCCTCCCCTGCTGTGGCTGGCGGGTTGGAGGGGGGGGTCACCCAAACTTGTGCTCTGCTGTTTTGTCGTCTGCAGGACTGGGAGACGGAGAGCCATGACTGGTACTGCATGGAGTGTCACCTCCCGGGCGACGTCCTCCCGTGTGACAACTGCTTCCGGGTTTACCACCTCAAGTGTCTGTCGGAGGAGTGCAAACCCCGAGACGGGGGCTCACACTGGCAGTGCGTTGTGTGCAGGGTAGGGGGTCCAGCCAGGCTCCGCTTTCTACATTTATAAAACATGAACTTAGTTCTTTTATTTAGGATTCATGACAACCCTAAAATCTACTCTAAATCATTAACCACCTTAAAATGGATCCAGTTTTAAATATTTATGTTGTTACCTTTGAAATCATGATTTTAAAGAACATAAATTAAAAAAAAATCTAACACCAATGACTGTTGACTATGTACATATAAGAAATGTCTTTTATTAGTATTAAAAACTTCCATGTTTAAGGTCTTTAATCAGATTAGGGATTATTATTGGATGTTTAACCTTCTGCTTCACTCCAAACCCTCAAATCTGAATCTTACTTCATTGGTTTGCTTGACGACTTCTGTCAGATTTTGTTTTTACTTTTCAGTCATGTTTTTGATGTCAGAGTTTCCCGACCTTCACCTCATTCCACATCTGTTGATGTCTTGTAACTTCATGGTGGGATGAAGGATGCTGCATTTCTATCGCTACAAGCCTAAATAAAAACCACAAAAGTACTTTGGTGATTTAATGAGATTAGTATTTTTTTGTCCTACAGGGGAGTAAAAAGAAGAACCTGAACAAACAGGAGATGTGTAAATACCTGCGCTTCATTATCCAGCGTATGAAGGAGAGGGTGAGGACAACTTTAACCTACTGTCTCACTCAGCTGAATCTCCTACTGGAATGTTTTAGATTAAATTTGTAATTACTGGAAATAATTTTCTGCTTGGTTTTCTCTGCAATATTGTGTCACTTTTGTCATTTTACTCATCATAACAGCTTAAACCAACATCAACACTAGCGCCAGCAGTATTGTGTGTTTTACTGTGATGATCTTTTAGCAATTTATTCTCCTGAGAACTTTAAATTTGAGTTTTTATACAAAATACTAAAAAGAAAACTGTGTGTGTGTGTGTGTGTGTGTGTGTGTGTGTGTGTGTGTGTGTGTGTGTGTGTGTGTGTGTTACATCTTCAAAGACGGGCACAACTGAAACAGTAAAACTGATTTTAGCTCTTTAGCTGAATCTGTCTTAGATGTTTGCATCATGTTGATCCTGCAAACAAATGAGGTATAAATCAGAAAGATTCCTTTTTCTTCTTATTCACACCTAATAATCTAAAATGACATATGATATATGTGCTAAAGCATTTCAGTTGAACTACAGGATCTAAATTATTTTCTCTGGTCTAAAGCATTTTGTGTTTTATTTTTGTTTACTTTATTTCACCAGTCCTCCTCCTCTGTTGTTCCATCATTATTCTTCCTTCTTTCTACTCTCCTCCTTCAGCTCTTGAGTCCCTTTGATTTAAAATTAAATTAAAAATCTCCACTTCTCCACGTCTCCCTCCCTGATTCTCCTGGTTAAAGTGGAATCAGATCTCATTATTAGCCTGGCAGGTTTCTTCTGCATCCTCAGACCTCCCTGGCTCCCCGCTCTCCTATTACCCCCATCACCTCCCTGCTCCTCTTTATGAAATCACATTAAAGCTCTGCTCTGGCTCTGCATTGCAGGCAGTGGACCTGAACAAAAAGGGCAAAGACACTAAACACCCCATGTACAGACGACTGATCCACACAGCAGTGGAGGTCACCAACATCCAAGAGGTAGGTTGTGCATGTGTGTGTGCACGTGCATGGTCAGACAGGCCCCTGCTGTGCTGCAGTCAGTGGTGCATCACACACAACCTCTGCCAGACATGTTGGATTTCTGCCTGTGCACACACACACTGAATATGAATAGGCCTCTTTGTATCTGTTTTCTCTCATCATGACTAACGCTCCCTCTGTTTCTGCTCCTGCAGAACTTGTCTGAAGGAAAATACAAAAGCTTCGATGAGTTCAAAGCAGACGTTCAGCTGATTGTTCACAACACGTCCATCCTGTTTGGAGGTGAGTCCATGTTCAGCTAGTACACATATGTCAGAGTCAAGGCCCGCGGGCCAGATGCGGCCCGCGGAGCATTTTTATGTGGCCCGCGAGATAAATATCAAAAATATATTAAAACTGGCCCGCTGGCCGATTTTACCGCAAAGACTTCAACTCCCATGATGCTTTGTGGCGTCAGCGCGGAGCCGACGACGCCCCCTCCTTTGTGTTTTTTCAGCACCTGCTGACGGTCTCTGCAGCTCCGTTGTCTCGGACAAACACTCCTCTCACTCAGCGCCGAGTTCACTCAGCTGTTTTCTGACGTTGACGCCCAGAAACGGAGATTCTAGCCGCTCAGTAATGTGTTCACGACTGAAAGAGAAAGTTTTTCAACTAACGTCCAGACAGAGCTGATATAACTCCAGCGAGCAGCGACACGCTCAAAGCAGCACGACTCTGTGGTTGCTGTTGTTGTGTTTCCTCCCCGACACACAACAACGTGGTCAAGCTGCTCAGACATGTTCAGCAGCACAAACCTATGTGAGCAGCTGTTGTCATCTAATGTTGTCATATTATGATGAAGATGAACAAAACAACAGGAGTCTCCTCCTCAGCTCAGATCAGCCCCATGATGCAGGTATCTGGCTGGAACAGGTGAGCATCACAGTAAACCAGTGGAACAAACTGAGCTTTAAATATGTTGGTTTTATGCTCGTTTTCTGCTCCAAAACATGAAAGTTAACAGGTGAGATGTTGCATTTTCATTTAAGATAAAATGATATTTTTATTTTGTTGTTGGCCCGTGAGAAAAGATTTAACCTACAGTAAACAGGAAGTGGAAAGGCTGCAGATAGATGAATAGAATAGAAAATCCCTTTATTGTTCCTCGGTGGGGAAAGCTAGACGTCACAGCAGCGATGACACGTATTACAGGAGAAAAAAAGGAGAATAAAAAATAAGAAAACTGAATAAACAACAAGAAAACATAAATCCTGAATAGATTTTAAAAATGCTGATTATACCACAAGTAATGAATACCACTGATGCCTTTTATTTAAAACTGACTTGCTCGTGTGTAATTTGGTTATTCCACATTCAGTGTTAATGCAGAAATATGTTTGTTTCCAAATTTAAAGGTTCAAAATTGCATATATGTTGATAAAGAAAATGTGCAAATTTGCCGTCACTTTTTCAAAAATATTAAGTTTGGCCCTCGACTCCGTCCCAGAGTTTCATTTCGGCCCCTTGTGAGTTTGAGTTTGACACCCCTGAGCTAGTTGTGCACCACAAACATGTTAATTACTGGGACGTTACTCACCACTGAACTGGTTCTCTTCTTATCTATCTGCAAGTTCCTTCTTTGTAACCATCTCCAAGTGTCGGTCCTTCACCACGTCCCTTACCCATGGTGTCCCACAAGGTTTTGTGCTGGGGCTTCTACTCTTCCTCCTCTATATTCTCCCTCTCCAGCACATCCTGAGCTCTTTCTAAGAAATCTTCTTCCATCTTTATGCAGATGACATCCAACTGTACATCTCCTTTAAGCCCCATGAGATGTCTAAGCTGCGGCTGTTACACACCTGCTTAGACTCTATCAAAACCTGGATGGCTGGGAGCTTTCTACAGCTGAATGAAGATAAGACTGAGATCGTCATCTGTGCCCCAGACAAGCTGGTTCCCAAAGTCAGAGACTCTCTTGGTCAGCTTGCTTCTCACACCAAACCTTCTGTCAGGAATCTTGGCGTGACCTTTGACCCAGCTCTCACCCTGGATTCTCATGTCAGTTCTCTTGTTCGCTCTTCCTTCTTCCATCTCAGGAACATTGCTGAGTCCCATTCTGTCCCGCTCTGAACTTGAGACAGTTCTCCACACCTTCATCTCCTCACGCTTAGACTACTGTAACTCTCTTTTCACGTGTCTGAGCAGAACCTCCCTGAACCGTCTACAGGTGGTTCAGAATGCCTGTGCTCGGCTTCTGACCAAGTCCTCCAAACACACCCACATCACTCCGCTTCTCCTCCAGTTTCCCTGGCTGCCAGTCAACTTCAGGGTTCATTTCAAGATCCTGGTTCTGGTCTATAGGGTCTTACATGGACAAGCACCATCTTACATTGTGGTGCCTGTGCTCAGTAGCCTTGCCTCTGTCATCGAACCCCAGGGCATCTGTGGCTACAATGCAGCACATCATCACTAGTGTGTGAATGGCTGATTGTGTTGTAAAGCACCTTAGGGGGTTGTAGGACAGGTTGTAAACGTGAACATGTCTTAAATGTGCTGAATTTTTTTTATTTCTGCTCATTAAACCTTTGACAGATAGTAAAGTCAAAAGTTTCAAGTTTTTTTTAGCATCACTGCCACCATGGCTGTCATAGCTAGAATTATTTTATTTTTAACGCATGATGATACAAGTCAGAACATTTAAAAAACTGTTATTTGAGCAACAGAACAACACTGAGATGAATCGTTTGTTTTATTTGTCT